GACAAAAAAAATAAAAGATGGATTCATTATTTTTAATTAAAATGCTCAACAACAATAAAACAGTAAGATTCAATGACAAACTAGCTTACAAAACGTTATTAACAAAAACGTATAAGATGAGGCATGGCATAGGCCTACACGCTGTATTAGGCTATATACCGACTAATACATTACAGAACGTTTAGCAAACACTGAGGAATCAAATAAATAAATAAAAGAGCCTCCATAGCTTAAGGTAAACAGCAAAGATGAGTTTTTCAAAAATGAAAAGAAAAAGAAAAGTAAAGCTAACGGTGACAGTGCTTACATGTTTTTCTCCCCACAAGAATACCAGCATGTTCACCTTCTCTGGTTTAAGAATCAGACAAAAATACAGGTGCGGGCGGTTGGCGGGTGGATCATTTATTTGAAGCTGCGGATTCAGGTGACGTTTTAGCTCATCCGCGCATCACTAACGTACAACTACTACTATTAGAATTAAGGAATAATCACAATATTTCTTACATGTTTTAATTTTAATTGTAAATCCCCTTTGTTTGACAAAAAATAAAATTTGTTTAATTTTCATTAATTAAAAGATAAATTAAATTAATGTGTATGCCTTCATTCGATAACGCAGAATTTCTAAAGAAAAAAAACATGTCATAAGGCTATAAGTAAAAGTAGTTTTTATTAATTCAAATAATTAGACATATTAAAACACAGAATTTGGTAACAATAAACAAGGTGAAAAAAATATTCATAAGACCCTAAACATGTAATTTTTGTTAAACTTTTTAATAGATTTGATGTTGAATTGTATACGTTTCATTATTTAATTAGACGTGCTTTTAATTAATACAATTTAATTTAACCATTTAAAAAGGAGTCCAGAAAAAAAAAAGAAAAAAAAAAAACAGAATCCAAAAAAATTTTAATTTGGAATTTAAAAAAAAAAATTGAATTTGGGAAAAAATAAAACGTATTTCATAGGGCTCTAGCATAGTTATTTATTTATTGTGGTAATTTGAAGGTTGTGTCAAAAAGTTGTTCTAGTCTAGTAGATAAATAGCTGTATTCTGTACGTTTTTACTCGTGTACAATAATTTTCTTCCAAATATGATAATTTTAAGCTTCTGGTACGATACTTGGACATTTCCAATCTGGCAACACTG